AGTCTCTGTCAGGCCAGTAAGTCTGGTCTTTTTTTGTGAGTTAGAATTTTGTTCTACATTTTTCTCCAGCTCTGTCCAGGACCCTCTGTTGTGATCCCTGTCAGATCCTGCTATCATTTTCACTGGGAGATCTCTAATGACTTTTAGTTTTTTTTAAGGAAATAGATTCATTCAAGTTTTCCCCTTCTTCCTGGGATAGTTTTGTCAGGAAAATATTAATTTACTCTAAGTTTTCATATTTTGTTTTGTCATAGGTTGGTATAAAATATTCTCAGAATCTCTTTTTAAAATATTTTATTTGTTGTTGAGAATATACACAGCAGAACATGCAACAATTCAACATTTCTACATGTACAATTTAGTGACACTGATTACATTCAAGTTGTGCAACCATTCTCACCCTCCTTTTCCAAGTTGTTTCTCCCCCATCTCTAAGAATTCTTTTAACATTTTCTGTATGTTTGTCTTCTTCCTCATTCCTCATCTTCTATATTTTCCCTAGTTTTTTAAAATTTCGCTTTGTTTTGTTCTGCTGTTGTTGTTTTAGTTTTTTACCTAATCAAGGCTTTTAAATTACATATTTTATTGGCCTTTTGAAAGAAATGGCATTTGTGGTTGTTAAGCTCTCGTGGAGTTTTTTTTATTGTCTCATTAGTTTCTGCTTTTTATTTCTCCTTCTCAGCTTTTTTTTTTTGTTCTCCCCTTGTTCTTTTCCTGATTTCTTATAAGTGCCAAGCTCCTTCACTGTTTGTTTTTCTCCTTTAATGCTGGAGGAATTCAAGATTATAAATTTTTATCTGACTAAAGGATTTTATTGAATTTTGGCATAAAGGTCTCCTTTTTATTCCTTTCTACATAGTTTACATTTTCTATTTCAATTTCTTCCTTGATTCAAGAGTTATCTAATAGTATTGCATAATTTTAGGAGGATTTTCCAAGTGGTATAAAGCTTATCACAGTACTGTTTAGCATAGCACGAAGTCGATGCTTTTTTTGGCTTATGCTTAAAAACAGGGAGTACTCAACCTGTGGCACGGCTGTGTACCAAGAACCCATACATAAGTCAACTTCTTGAAGCCAATAAGTACCAAAAGAAACAACATTTTAAATGATGAAGAAATTTTTCTTTCATTTCCTTAAAGTTAACACAAAAGCTGGTTAAATTTTCAAAGAAGCCTGCAAGAATCTAGTTTTGCCGAAATAATATACTAACAGTAATCCTGAATTTCAGTGTCATCCTCTTAGCTTTCTACATTTCTTAAAGTGTCCGTCACAATTAGACACGGAAGAAGAGTAGGAAGGAGTCTGGGAAGAGCTGCCCTCTATAACTGCCAGCCTCTTGGAGACTTGCATATATGTTGACATATTAACTTTGGTTAATTCAGCATTTCCTAAATATATTTGATTACCTCCTTCTTTTATCCATTAACACCTATTACTTCTCTTTGGGAAATGCAAGCCAAGAAGACAGGCATCCTCAGGCAAGAAAGACAGTGTAATCAAATTCTGTCTTCTCTGTGGGTTACTCACAGCTAGGGCTCAATACATGTTTGCTGAATAACTTGGTACCAGAGGAGGTGTGATATGGCAATAGTAGAGGTAGGGAGTATCCACTACAGCCACTCCAAGTACGGTCGTATACAAGTTGAGTTCTTTAGCAAGGCATAGTCAGAATTTTGCATCAAAACACAATCTTTCTTTTTCTGTTTTACATTGTAAATCGCAATTCCTAAAGTTGTAGCCCTACCCAAATCAAATATCAAACACTAACTCAGGAGGCCAACAAGTCCCAGTAAAAATAATATTGCAGTTCCACCACCAGTGAAAGCATATACATAAATATGCACACGCACACACAAACCCGCATCACCTCCACCACCACCATGCCTAGCTCTGCTGTGCAAAATGTCAGAGACTGATGACTTAGCTTATCGCCAAGTCAGAGTACGTTCAGAGAAATGAAAGGAAAAGCTTGCCAAATGGTTCCACTGTCCATATTAAGCTAATACAGTAGAACTGCACACTTTGGGTTCCTACCCATTTAATTTCATGATTCAGCCATATAAGTCCATGGTCTTAAAGCAGACAGTGAACTAGGCAGAGCAGGAGGCTTCAAAATTGTAAAAATAAAGACAACCTACGTTTATTTTCTAAAGAACTTCCAGTTTCATAGTTTTAATAGGTACTGTTAGCTGCCTACTCTCACAGCCTTTTCCTCTCCCTTCTTCTTCTTCTTTTTAGTAAGATTTTATTGTGTTTTTGGTAAAGGTTTACACAGCAGTTTAGGTTCCCATTCAACAGTTTCCACACAAGTTGTTTAGTGATACTGGCTACATTCTTCCCAATGTGTGAATATTCTCATTATTTCTGTTCTGACTGTTCTGTTTCCACTAATCTAGTTTCCCTACCCCCTTACCTTCTCATCTTTGTTTTAAAGTAATTGTTGACTATTTGTCCCCTCCTTTCTTGTTAACAGAACTCTAATTTTGTTTGGGGCAACAATGCACATACAACTTGAAGGGATAAACCATAACTGATCTATGCCAATCATGGATCTCCTGGCTCCCCTTTCCCACGTACGTAACTTTCCAGAGTACTGTGTGGATAGAGGTAGCTATGTGACCTTTCCATGCTGCCTGTGAGACATAAAAAGAAATCTACTGGGAGAATTCTGGGAAACGCTGTCCTTTCCACGTAAAAATAAGGAAGCATTTTGTCCCCACCTCATTCTTCTTGCCTGAGACACTGATGTGAGGAAAATGATGTCTGGGGCTGCAGCCATCATGCTTTGACCAGGAGGCAACAGGTAAAAGGATGCAAGTCAACATGTTAAAGATGGCAGAACAGGAGGACATTAGACTCTAGATCCCTGATGATGTCATGGAGGCAAGTGAACTAACTCTGGACTTACCTACCTCCAGACTTCATGTTATGTTAACAACATGCGTATGCTGCTTGGGTATGCTGTCACTGCAGTCAACTGCCTCCTGACTGATACAGTAGTGCTTTATGTTTTCATAATGTGATGAAGAATATTAATTACTAATATTTCAGAATTTAAAATTCGAGAAAAGCAATACGGGAACTGAAGGACTTCTAATTTTTCATGCACATAATGCTGTGTTTAAATTGCTTTTACAAGCATGTAAAAACGTATGTTTTGTAACATCAAATATCAGAATAAAAAAGCAAATAAACTTAAAAAGACAAATAATAGGAAAAATCAATCCATACCCATACCTTTCCGTGTGTTCTCCGTCACATCTACCCCAAACTGAATAATATCGCCAGAAAGAATTTCACATGGTGGACTTTCTTCAGAGCCTCGACTCAATCTCTGGCTATTTATAAAGGTGCCATTACTACTTTTAGTGTCTTGGAGATAAAACTGCAAAAAAAAAATTTGAGCCAAAGATTAATAATAGTAATTCCAAACCTACTTTATAAAAAAGTACCGTAACTTTGCAAACTACTGCAGGTGGGTTTTTCCCTCATCAATTCAAAGCACTCGTTTCAGCTAAGCTTCTCCTTCCTTCAACTCGATACCAATGAATTTTTCTCCTTCAATATATATGAAGTCAGACCCACTGCCATTGAGTTGATTCTGACTCACAGTGACCATAGAGAACAGAGAAGAACTGCCCCATAGGGTTTCCAAGGCTATAAATCTTTGGGGAAGTAGACTGCCACATCTTTCTCCTGCAGGGCGGTTGGTAGGTTCCAACTGCCAACCTTTTGGTTAGTAGCCAAGCGCTTTAACCACTGTGCCACAAGGGCTCCTTATATATAAAGTCAGAACCCTAAAACCAGGTGACAGAAAATTCAGGTAGACAAAATAGTGCAGCCACTTTGGAAAAGTTTGTCAGTTTCTCAAAATGTTAAACAGACTTACCATATGACCTAGCAATTCCACTCCTAGGTATACACCCAAGAGAACTGAAAACATATGTCTACACAAACACTTGTACACAAACGTTCATAGCAGCATTAGACATAACAGCCACAAAGTGGAAACGACTCAAATGTCCACCAGTTGCTGAAACGACAAACAAAACGTGGTTGTTGTTGTTAGATGCCGTCGAATCGATTTCGACTCACAGCGACTCAATGCAATAGAGTAGAACTGCCCGTAGGGTTTCCTAGGTTGTAACCTTTATGGGAGCGGATCACCAGATCTTTTCTCCCACAGAACCTGCTGGATGGGTTCAAAGTACCACCAATCTTTTGGTTAGCAGCTGAGCACTTAACCTTCTATTACAGAAAGGAGTAAAGTACTGATATATGCTATAACATGGATGAACTGTGAAAATACTATCTAAGTAAAGGAAGTCAGTCACAAAAGACCACAAATCATATGATTCCATTTATACGAAAAGTCCAGAATATGCAAATTCATAGACAAAAAGTACCTTCATGGTCCTGAGGGGCAGGGGGAAGGAAGGGAATAAAGAGTGACTGCTAATGGGTACAACGTTTCTTTTTGGGGTGACAGAAATGTTCTAAAATTAGACCATAGTGATAGTGGCACAACTCTCTGAATATACTAAAAACCACTGAATTGTACACTTTAAACAGGTGATTTTCATGCTATCTGAATTATATCTCAATAAAGCTATTACATTAAAAAAAAAAAAAAGAAAAAAGAAAAGCCCAGCCAGATAAAATTCTAATTCTACCTATCCATCTCACTCTGACTATATACCTTTGTTCCTAGGCTATCTAGGATCAATCAAAGAGAGCATACTTTATTCCACAGGCAAGGGCAACTGGTTTTAGGTAACACCTATGATTAATAGTTACCAGTTAGCTAACATACTTGGTATAACAACCGACATACCTTCAGTAATACAATTCTTTGTGAGAAAAGATATTTGAGACACTAGAAACCAAAACACTGCAATCAACTATGAGTGTACAACTTCCTGGCCTCCCAAACTTGTTTTTCATCAAATCTCCCCTCTTTAAAAAGGGAAGGAGTAGCAGGAGGCACAGGAAGCCTACTTAAACTAAAAAAAAAAAAAAAAGAACAACTGGTATCACACATTAAGACTTACTAGGAAGAGAGATAAACCAATTTAAAAAAAAATGTACCTTTCCTTTTGAATCTTCCTATACTCTCCAGCCCTACTTATTCTAGCAACATATTTTCACTGAACACCTTCCTATGGAAGAAAGGAAAGAAGACACCTAATATTTATCAAAATATGCTTTATTTATGCTCAGCAAAAGACTTCTCCAAAAGAGTAAAAAGAGAACTTACAGATTGGGAAAAAATTTTTGGCTGCAACACATCCGACAAGGTTCTAATTTCTGAAATTGATAGAAAACTACAATACCTTAACAATAAAAAGACAAACAATCCAATTAAAAAACAGGCAAAGGATATGAATAGACACTTCACCAAAGGAAACACTCAGGCAGCTAACAAACATATGAAGAAATGCTAGTGATAATTAGCAATTAGAGAAATGCAAATCAAAACTACAATGAGTTACCACCTCACCCTGACATTACTGACACTAATCAAAAAAGAAAAAAAACAGAAAATAAAAAATATTGGTGAGGTTATGAGGAGATTGGAGCTCTTATACACAGCCGGTGGGAATGTAAAATGGTACACCCACTATGAAAAATGGTATGGTGCTGCCTCAAGAAGCTAGAAATAGAAATACCATATGATCCAGCAATGCCGCTTCTAGGTATATACCCTAAAGAAACAAGAGCCGTGACACGAATAGACATGCATACCCATGTTCACTGCAGCATTATTTACAATAGCAAAAGATGGAAACAACCTAAGTGTCCATCAACAGATGAATGGATTAACTGTGAAACACACACACAATAAAAAATAATGACGCATATGTGAAACATCCCACAACATGGATGAATTTGGGGGACATTATGCTAAGTGAAATAAGTCAGTCACAAAAGGACAAATATTGTACGAGACCACTATTATAAAGTAACAACAAAAGGTTCACACACAAAAAAGAAAAAAGAAAAAACACTCTATGATGGTTACCAGGGATGGGAGGGGCAGGGAGGGAAAATTACCTATTTGGTAATTTTTCTCACCTATTTGGAAACCAAACAAAAACAAAGCCACGGCCGTCAAGTCAATTCTGACTCATAGCAACCCTATAGGACACAGCAGAACTGTCCCATAGGGTTCCCAAGGAGTGGCTGGTGGATTCGAACTGCCAACCTTTTGGTTAGCAGCTAAGCGCTTAGCCACTGTGCCACCAGGGCTCCAAAAATAGATACAAGACACTTGTTAATATTAGAGAAGAAAAAGGCAATATACAATACGGGAGAAGTCAGCACAACATGACCAAGGCAAGAGAGGACACTGAGAGGAATGCAAGAATAAAGGGCAACTACAGTAACTACTACAGCATAGACAATCTTGCAACAACAGTACAAACAAACAATAATTTGAGTGGATACATAGGTAGATAGATAAGCCAAGAGTGTGGGAGGGCATAAGGGAGCACACCCACCAGCAGATACAGATTTGGTGGTGGATATTTCTACATACACGACTGTAGGTGCTCCTCATTTATTAATATAGACAATAGAGCACACAAGGGGCACAGTCAAGGAAACCTCTTAGACATAACCAAACATCTCATGGGATGAAGTATCTAGACTTCGAAGGCAAAGGACCACAGACTTGGGGGACATCTACGTCAACTGGCACAACGTAGTTCATAAAGACAATGTTCTGCATCCTACTGTAGTGAGTAGCGCCTGGAGTCTTAAAAGCTTGCAAGCAGCCATCAAAGATACAACTGCTGGTCTCTTCCCAGCTGGAGCAAAGGAGAGTGAAGAAAACCAAAGACTCAAGGGAGCAATTAGTCCAAAGGACTAATGGACCACATGAACCACAGCCTACGTGACCCCAAGCCCAGAAGAACTAGATGGTGTCCAGCTACCATCACTGACCATTCTGACCGGGATCACAACAGAGGGTCCTGATCAGAGCAGAAGAAAAATGTAGAACAAAAAATCAAATCCTCAAGAAAGATTAGACTTACTGATTGTCATAGATTGAACAGTCTTCACCAAAAACGTGTCACCTTGGCTAGGCCATGATTCCAGTATTGTGTGGTTGCCCTCCATTTGAGATCTGATGTAATTTTCCTATGTGTTGTAAATCCTAATCTCTGTGGTTAATGAGGCAAGATTAGGTTATATTAAAAAGGATTAGGGTGGGATGTAACACCTGTACTCAGGTCACAGCCCTGATCCAATGAAAGGGGAGTTTCCCTGGGGTGTGGCCTGCATCACCTTTTCATTTTATAAGAGATAAAAGGAGAGAGAATCCAGCAGAGAGACGAGGATCTCTTACCACCAAGAAAGAAGAGCTGGGAGTGGAGCATGTCCTTTGGATTCAGGGTTCCTGCGCTGAGAAACTCCTAGACCCAGCACAACATGACCAATGAGGACCTTCCCCAAGTGCGAACAGAGAAAGTCTTCCCCTGTAGCTAGTGCCCTGAATTCGGACTTCAAGCCTCAAGTTGCAATACTGAAAGATTCTACAGGGAAACTACTGAACAATGCGTGAAGCATTAAAAGAAGATGGAAGGAATACACAGAGTCACTGTACCAAAAAGAACTGGTTGACATTCAACCATTTCATGAGGCAGCATATGATCAAGAATCGATGGTAATGACAGAAGAAGTCCAAGCTGCCCTGAAGGGAATGACGAAAAACAAGGCTCCAGGAATTGATGGAATACCAAGTGAGATGTTTCAACAAACGGATGCAGTGCTGGAGGTGCTCACTCATTTATGTCAAGAAATTTGGGAGGCAACTTCTTGGGCAACTGACTAGAAAAGATCCATATTTGTGCCAAATTCCAAAGGAAGGTGATCCAAGAGAATGTGGAAATTATCAAACAATATCACTAACATCACACACAAGTAAAATTTTGCTGAAGATCATTCAAAAGAAGCTGCAGCAGTACATCGAGAGGGAACTGCCAGAAGTTTAAGCTGGATTCAGAAGAAGACGTGGAATGAGGGATATCACCGCTGAAGTCAGACGGATCTTGGCTGAAAGTAGAGAATACCAGAAAGATGTTTACCTGTGTTTTATTGACTATGCAAAGGCACTCAACTGTGGGGATCATGACAAATTATGTACAACATTGCAAAGAATGGGAATTCCAGAACGCTTAATTGTGCTCATGAGTAACCTATACTTAGACCAAGAGGCAACTGTTTGAACAAACAAGGGGATACTGCGTGGTTTAAAGTCAGGAAAGGTGTGAGTCAGAGTTGTATCCTTTCAGCATACTTATTCGATCTGTATGCTGAGCAAATAATCCAAGAAGCGGGACTATATGAAGAAGAATGGGGCATCAGAATTGGAGGAAGACT